AAAGAAGCCATATTCTAACCATTTGAAGCAAAAAAGAGACTTTTCAAAGGTAAACAGCAGTTACTAGTAGCATGGTTTTGTGAGAATTGCATATCATTTTGTTAATAGCTGTAACAGCTGAACTGAGGGAGGGGCCTGGTTTTCTAGATCCTCCAGAGCAATGTGGCTGAGCTTTTGCACTGCAGCCTTTGGCCTGAGATTCCAGATAGTGTCTCCCAGTGTAAAATTTAGTGATTACTACAATCAAATACTTTTATTTACATGCTAGCTATATACTTTTTCAATAGTTAAAGAAAGTGACCATTTCCCTTTCTACTTGGATAATACTTAGGCATCAAAAATTGTGTCCCCGTCTCCCCCTGCCCCGTTTTGTACTACTGTTGTATATAATTCCCCATTCAGGAGGCAGAGAGAATGTGATCCTCAGCCTCTAAGGTAAGAGTACCAATAAGGAAAGTAAGTTTCTTACACAAAACTTCTGGCTGGTCTGAAGTACTCCCATTCCTCAAGATACTAATGAGATTTCTTTACATATCCATCAGGTAGATGTACTGGAATCTCAGTTCTCACAGCTTCTGCAGCAGATAAATGCCACGCGAGATTTTGAGAGTATACGATTGGCTCATGATCATTTCTTAAGTAATCTGTTGGCTCAGTCTTTCATCCTCCTAAAACCTGTAAGTAGGTCTTGTTTTCACTTTTTTTCCTACAAATTCTCCAACTGCCCTAAGAAACGCACCTGCTTGAACCGATATGACAAACCATCTCTTTTAAAACAGATCAGTGATAACCTCCTGCAGAGCAGAGACTACATTTCTAGGAATAAAGCAGGTCTAAACTAGAACCGATAATTGAATTAAGATCACTTAATTTACAGTTGGTGACTGTGGATGCTGCATTCCTGGCAATTTTAAATCAAGATTATTCCAGTGTTCAGTTAACCTTATTAACTTAAATTTTGTCACTATATTTTTCTCACAGGCAATTTTATTAAAGAAGTACTAATTAGCATAGTGCTGGGAACTGTACGTTCCTGAGGGACTCATTCTGAAATGCATTAGATCAGGAAAAATTCCCTCTCATACTTTAGAGGATAAAAATAGTTGAGATGTTCCTGAGTAGACTTTAAGGGTCTTTTTTATTGTTGTTTTAGTCAAAAATATGTTACAGGGTTGCCAGTATTTTTATTAAACATGTAGCCTCACAAAAACATTCCCAAAGAAAGTTGATATCAATGAAAGACAGTGATAAAGCAGATCTTGTCCATTTCATTATTTCACTCGGTCTGTGAGGCTCTAGCATGAAGGTGGCAGAATACTGATTATCCAGTCTGGAACTTTTAAGTGTTCCAGTAGCTACGTCTGTGAGGCATTTGGGCTTTCTTAACACTCGTGAATGCAAGTTACCTTGACCAACTGATAGAAAAGAAATTCCAAGTTTTGTGAACAGTGAAACCAAGGCCTTGAACCACAGTTCTTGCTGTTCTTTCTTCTTCCTTCTCAATCCCGAAGCTGCAATGATGGCCTGCTAGTTGGATAGGGAAGCCTATGTTCAACCTCTGTGCCTATGTGGATGGCTCATGCCAATCACTGTTTCCCCAGTAGTGTCTGCAAAAAGGCTGGGGTGGGGGTAAGATGCAGCGTAACATTTAAGTCCTTTTTCTGTAGAAAACCTTGCAAAAATGCTACAGGTGCTTTAACGTCTTCCTTACTGATTCAAAAACATGGTATCAGCAGCATCTTGATTATGAATGCTGCAACTTTTCAGGTACTAAAACCAGTTTTCTCTGGGTTTGAACTCTGTTTAAACTACTATCTGGTACTTTTTATCCCATACAGGTTTTCCACTGCTTAAATGAAATTCTGGATCTTTGTCATAGTTTTTGTTCTCTGGTCAGTCAGAATCTGGGCCCACTAGATGAACGGGGAGCTGCACAACTCAGTATTTTGGTGAAGGTGAATCTATGTTTATATGTTTACCTGTTCTTCTCCCATGCAAACACTTGCATAAGCAGTCTTCCTGGCTTTAACAGCTGTAGAAGAGGAGTGAGTTTAAGCTGAGACCTTCTATCTGAGTGCTTGCAATGATTTTAATCAATCAACAGTTACCGAGTTGAAAAATTCTTTGTGCACAGAGAGGAGGAATGTGGGCAGATACGCAGAAATTACCCTATTGGAATAGAAAGGAGGTGGATGTCAGTCAGTGCCTCTACCCCTCCTTTTGGATACCTAACACCTAATAATTCTTGCGGCTGACAGCTTACCTTATACTGGACCGCAAGCGTCACTTCTCTTGCACTGATTCTTTTCTTCAGGCTGTTAAAGGATTGTTTAGGCAGGAACAGAGATGAAAGGCTTGCTTGCTTGCTTTCTGCCTTGAGAGTGCCCAGAACTGACTTCTTCTAATTCATAGGGATTCAGTCGTCAGTCATCACTTCTCTTCAAGATTCTCTCTAGTGTTCGCAACCATCAGATAAACTCTGACTTAGCGCAACTGCTGCTACGCTTGGATTATAACAAATACTACACCCAGGCCGGAGGAACCTTGGGCAGGTAGGAGTATATTCAGGGTTGCTTGTAGCATTATCCTGAGGTACTTGAAGTACAAAGTGATCTAAATGATCACAAGTCATTTTTATCAACTCTGTAAGCCAAAATAATTAGAAGCAAAGTGTTGCTAGATACTGTGACAGAAAAGTAACAAGCCAGCATGAATTAATTTTTGGTTTTCATATGCTTTCTCCCCTTCAAGTTTGTTTTAGCATGGAGTTGAACTAACTGAAAAATGATGATGTGGGGTGATAAAGGGAGTTCCTTTCAACATGTAGTGAATATTGTACCCTTCTCTTGCAGTTTTGGGGTTTAAGCACCAAGACCTTTTCTTCAAGCTGTGACTAACGACACATCAAGCAGTAGAGAGTGGTGCTCTTGGAGAGGTTGCACTCAACTGGATTTTTCTTTATAGCTGGCTCTTGCCTGGTGAACCACTGTTTCAGAAGGAATTGGCAGGAAGTGCCACTTATGTGTGGCTGCCCAGTGATTGCAGAAAGCTACTCCATTTTTTCTGAACTCGTAAAAACATGCTTTCTGCAGCCCTGCATATACTTATAAATGCTCTAGGGAGGCAGTCCGTGCCTCTTCAGAAAGTGAAAAAGCAACAAGAATTACGATGTCTTGATTCTTCAGCTGGACTATGATCCTTTGCAAGTTGGAGTATGGAGGAAGTAGTCTATTGTTCTTCACTACGAATGAAGTTTTGGCTGTATTCAGAAGTTCCACTTGTGCAGTACACTGCTTTACAGTACGCAATGTCTGCTAATCAAATACATACCTCCAGGTAAATGAAATAACTGCAATGGCAGTTTGAGGTGAAGGGGGAGGGAAGAAGGAAGAGAGTTTAAGAATCTCCTCTTATACGGTGCGCTGTTGTAGCATATCTGTGTAGGTGAGGGAGTCACCAGTGATGTCACACGCTTTCTCTATAAAACTTAACACATTTTGCGTGCTGGAAGTTACACACATCTAGACAGAAGTAGGAGCTTTGCCCTGTTCAAAGCACAAAGCTGCCTCTGCTGGCAGAAAAGCGTGCTAGAACTAAAACTAAGGAGAAACTTAACTAGGATGCCAGCTCTAAATGTACTGTTTTCATTCAAGACTATTTAGAATGCTACTCGTGACTATCCTATTGAACTGAAATAAAACCATCTTGTCATGCAATTATGTGGAATATTGTCAATGCCTGCACCCAAGTGCAAGGGGACTAGATTGGCACAGAATCCTTGTTTCAATGAAAAGCAGTACCTCGCAGGAACTTCTTGCATGTTATTAAGACTTCCTAGCCTTGCTGTAACAAACAGATGATCTTGTTGTTAAGTCCATTTAGATGAGTGGCAGAAGAGAGCCCTCCAGTCAGTCACTGGGGTGTAGTATTACATTTCCCAGTTTGAACACAAAGGCTGCCAGGAAACCAGCCTTCCTCTCAAAGGGTCAGTATTTTCACAGTATCCGAAGCTGCGGCTCTGAAAAGTTACATGTCCTTGGGGGAACAAATCCTTTCTGCTCACTCAGAAGACACAGTAACAACAGACAAGAAGTATAAGGCCTGGCATCTTCAATGTAGTACAGCTGTTCATGGTAGGACTGTGGCTGATACAAAGTTTTAAATCCTGTGACCATGAAAAAAGCTAAAAAACTTAAGAAAGGGTGTTCAAGTTCAGATGGGGGATTTACCGACCAACACAGTCAGAAGGTGACCAAGCTAGGAAGTAATAGGGGAAAAAACACGCATCAAGAAAAACTTACACTTTTGAAGCAGGTGACTAAAGACTGTAGAGGCTGGATGGAGGCCTGGGTGTACCTCTAGCGTATAGCATTGCTAGAGTGAAGAGCTGTCAAACTCAGCTTTTGCCCTTATGCCACTTGACTGCTAAGATGAAGTGCCTGGCTGTGAATGCAGCGGCTCAGAAGCTGATGATTTACCCCATTACCATTTAAACAAAGATACACAGCACTTACACTCTTTGCACCTCTGTCTCCCAGCAGTTTAGTTGTCCTAGGGTCCCTGTGTCTGTATCTCTATGTGCCAGTCTGCACTAAGGCAGGTTAATACCTATATACTCACAACAGGAAAAAAGACAGAGAGGTAGCCAAAACAAAACGGCACTTTGCCCTAGAAATTCTTACCAGTCACTTCAGCAATATCTTGATGGCATTAATGGAAAATAATAACAGCAAGCTGGAGGAGTACACAACATGCTGTTCTTCCAACAAAGAGAAGTGCTGTTGCTGCTGCCCTGAACTTGGTCACAGGGTATTCACTTCTGCAAATACAGGCTGCCAGTTGAGAACACCCCTTTCCCTTCCTTTATAATTGACTTTGTGTTGAGGTCAGCCTTTACTGAAAGTAGAATATTAGTGCTGTAAGCATTTCTTTTGCCTCTGCCCTCCTTCTCTGGAGACAGCCCTGGAATAAGTCTAGATAAATGAGGAGTCCCAGTAGCTACCACAAGAGATTGAACATTTATTTCATCATAAAAGTCCAGCAGATAAAACTATATACAGTAATCCATGCACACTGCCCAATTACACAAACATTTAAAACCTGATTAAAACACAGTCTGCACAACAGTGGGACAGCAGGGCAAAGTTTTAGTTCAGTGGGGGACATAGTCATGTTTATATTTTGGATGCTTGTTGTAGCCTACTCTCTCCCCAGCAATAAGGCTCTGGATCACCCACTCTTGCGAGACAACAGGCAGCCGTAAAGCTTCTGCACACTTCAAGACACCAGCTGGGCAGGAAAAATCAGTCACCACCACATCATAAACACCCAAAGCAATATCTGCACAGGAGGAAAGACAGGCATCTGTCAGGTGGGGGGAAAAAAAAAAAAAAAAAAAAGAAAAAGGATCTCTGCAGCAGATTAGTGTGTTTCACCATTAGGAATCTCTCTTCCATGTCCTCTCATTCCTAGCCAGTGAATTCTTTTTGTAAAAGTTAAGACACGCTCTGCAGCAACACTGCACCTTGCAAGTAAAAGATTCCCTCTAGCCCAGACAGAAATTAACAGAAAACCAGTAGCCAAGATTACAGGCAGGACTAGATAACCGTGAGTCCTGACCTCAGCCTGTGAGTACTAGGGCCTACATCCCATATGGAGAGGGAGAGACAGCGGAGCTCAGAAGGACAAGGAAGCACAATTTTAGTGGTCTACAGAAGGTCCAGGAGCAACTCTTGCCTATTTCCCCCTTTCAACATAGGCTGGAAGATGAGCGCTTGTGTTCTGAACTGCTGCAGCATCTCCTTCTCTGGAAGGCAGGTCTTCTAGATGTAATCTTCTAGATTACATTCAAGCAGAGAGCTAGTGTCTGCACTTTGCCTTCCTTTATGCTTACAGACAACCCTGTAAGCCATCCTAAATGTTTTTAAACCATACCAGAGACCACAGTGGCATGGGATTCCCAACTACTAGGCCTAAGAAACTGGCCAATGAGTACCTTTGTTGTGAGCATTTGAGTAATGCTGTTTAACAGATGCTGCTCCCCCTGTCATGAGGATTTCAGACCACAAATCCAGGAAGTTCTGCTGCTGGTCTGATACCAGGAGAACCTTCAGGTTATGGAATGGGTTTTCTCGTGGATGCCTGTAGAATAAAAGGAGAGAAATGCAGACTGCGAAGAATATCCAGTAGTCTGAGACTTTATTTGAGGACCATTATATACTACTTCTAGTCACTTCATAGAATCATAGAATGGTTTGGCTGGAAAGGACCTTAAAGCCCATCTGGTTCCAACCCCCCTGCCGTGGGCAGGGACACCTTCCACCAGACCAGGTTGCTCAAAGCCCCATCCAGCCTGGCCCTGAACCCTTCCAGGGATGGGGCAGCCACAGCTTCTCTGGGCAACCTCTGCCACTGCCTCACCACCCTCACAGTGAAGAATTTCTTCCTTATAGCTAATCTAAAACTTCCCTCTTCCAGTTTAAAGCCATTGCCCCTTGTCCTATCTCTCCAGGCCCTTGTAAAACAAGTCCCTCCCCAGCTTTCTTATCGGCCCCTTTAGGTACTAGAAGGCTGCTCTAAGGTCTCCTTGGAGCCTTCTCTTCTCCAGGCTGAACAACCCCAACTCTCTCAGCCTGTCTTCACAAGAAAGGTGCTCCACTTAATTGGGTCCCTTATTGCTTCTTTGAATATCTTGCATACAATGACCTGCTGTCTTACTATCCCTCCTGAAATACTTGGAACAATTATCCTCTGTTTATAGATAGTAAAACAGAGCTAGACAACATTGGTGGGATGTGTGTGCAGCAGCCTAAATCCAAAATTAGGCTAAGCTCCTCTTTAATCTTCAACCACTTTTTCTGTGCATATCCAAAATGCCTCTGCTTTGACAGGGCTAAGCTGGCAGGTATCAGTTTCCTGGCCAAACACCCACAGAGATTTACAAGCTGCTTTTGTCTGCCCCGCACCTTGCCTGAGGAGTCTGACCTGACAATTCTTCTCTCAGAACAGATCTACTGGATTAGACTCCATAGAAAACACAGAAGCTGGCTTCAAAACGTACCAAACGGAAAGGAAATTGCAGTAGTATTGCTCTCCTTTATCCATTTCTGAGCAATTAGAGAAGTCAGGCAAGTGTATGGGAAGCCTTCCCTGAATTCCGTCTTCCTCAGGAGAAGACTGACATCTTTCTTACTTCCCAGGAGACTGTCTTTTTATATGTATAGAGCACCCAAACATACCTTGGCATTAGAAGTCACTGTAAATCCAAGGAAAGAGATGGAAGCGCTGTTCCTATATGGAAGGGAAAGCATGGGGAGCGGTACTGGGGACACCTTCAGTACTTGTACTATTCAAGAGCCTCCCAAGCATAACAATTCTCTCTGATGAAATCCATGGTCTGTGGACTCAGATCATGATTATTTGGCACTTACCATTCTAGCAATTTTTGCTCCTGGAGGCTATAACCAGCTGGCAAAAGGTAATTCCGATAATTTTGAAGCTGGTTAGCGTGACAGCTATCATGGACCCAGATATGAGACACACAAGGGATCCCTCTGGCAAGGCACAGCAAGTATTTCCGAGTTCGACAATGCTGGTCCGCAATTAAAAGACACTGATATGCTGCATTACACTTTAGGGGAGATAAAAAGACATGTAAACAGGAGACAATGCTTGCAAAAAAACCCCCAAGTTATCCTGCTACTAAACACTTTAAAACAATTTAAACCCTGATTTTCACAGCCACATTATGTGAAAGGTGAATTAGATAAACAGATTCTGAAATCAGGAGTACCTATAATAATCACCTATTCCAGGCTATGCCGTTCACAGGCAAAAACTCTGCCTAGCGGTTTTTGTATCATAACTATCTGTTCCAGTTCAGACAAAGGAAAAGATTCATCTTTTAGTTTGAGACTCAGTAAGTCACTAGAGAAGCCTCTGCATCCTCTGGCAAGATGCTCCAAAACCAATTTACCCTCTCTATTAAAAATCTAAATTTAAGTAAAAGTGACGCTAAGTGAAATTAGTTGTCCAAGTAGATCTGGTAAGTGAAGAGTAAACAGCTCTACCTCTAAGCGTTCTGAGGCACAGACCTGTGGTGAGACCACATCTGGAGTACTGCATCCACTCCTAGGTTCCACAGTACAACAAAACCACAAGACATACTGGAGCAGGCCCAGCCAAGGGCCACTCGGATACCTATGCACTGGAGCACGTGACATAGAAAGAAAGGCCTGAGAGAGCTGAGCTTGTTTAAGCTCAAGAAGGGAACGCTTGGGTAGTCTTATCAATGCATATTCGTGACTGATAGGAAGGTGTACAAAAGATGGTGCTAGACTCTTCTTGGTGTCATCCACTAAAACAAGAAGAAGCAACAGGTACAAACAACAATACAGGAAATTCCTTTTTTTTTGTTTTTTTTTTTTTTTAAATTGAGGGTTGTCAAACATGGGATCAAGCTGTCCAGAAAGGTTGTGGAGTTTCCATCCCCGAGGATACTCAAAACCCAACTGGACAAGGACCTAAGCAATCTGCTCTATTTGATCCTGCTTTCAGTGGGGGTGGGGGGTTATGCCAGGTGCACTCCTCCCCCCTCCTCGACAACACCAGAAACTTCTAGACTGGTGGACCACACATGGTACGTCACGCACAGAGGACAGGAATGGCAGGGTTCCTGGTCAACAGTCAGGGCCCTTAGCCCATCAAATGCTCTGGTCGAGAGACATTTCTAGACCATTGACCATCTATGACCACAGATCAGAATCGACCTAGGTTATAAATGGAGCCCCGCTAGGGGGGCCACGTTGAGTTGGTCCTTCTCCTCAAAGCAGCAGGTCTGCTGTCGGGGACTCTCCCCTTGGGTTGAGACACGTCCCAAGGTAACTTCTGCAGATTCAGAGCTCTCATCTTGTAGGTGAGTGATTGTGTATTTTGGATTATCATTCTAAAGGCTGGGGATCACCTGAGCCGCGGAGTAAATGAATTCCACTTGCTATCCTGAACCTGTGGTTTAATGTTTGTTGGACTGTAAGGTTATTTTGTTTAAGAGCACATTTTTCTCTTATCCAGAGTTTCAGCTTTGGTTAGATGAATAAATTCTCCTTTTGAGCTTGCCATCTGCCTGGTTTGGTTGTGCATATATATTAAAAAAAAATAAAATAAATCCTTAGACATAAACCGTTGACCAAGTCTGAGACTAGAAGTGGATCCAGCCGCAACTAGACTCCTCTCTGAGAAGCAGTTTAGAAAGCAAGGGCGTCCTCTCTGAACCTCGTGACTTGATGGGAGGGTCTCCCATACAGTTTTATTTGACATTGCCTTTTGTGTAGCAAATACTAGTGTGTCTCTGCAACAGCTGGACAAGATGAGCTATAGAAATTCCTTCCAATCTCAACTATTCTGTGACTATTGTTTTAGATTAGTAAGTGAGCCCTTACCTGGGTTTCATTGAAGTCTTCCAGGATATAGCCAGCTCCTGCTCGCAACTGTTGTGCAATGTAATGTTTGTCGTATGGAGTTATCTCTAAAAATTCTACAGCAGAAACAGAAAGTTCAATTTTGGGCTATAATCTATCTGCTTATGTCCATACAATCCTCAGTCTAGAGAGCCCTCACCCATTCCAATAAGTGACCTCAGTTTTTCTCCCAAGAATATCTAGAGAAAACCTGTGGAAGAGTCAAAAAAAAAAATTTAAAGGAAAAAAAAAAAAAAAGGGCAACAAAAAGGGAAGCACAGCACTGGCCAAACTAGCCAAGTAAGCACCTTGTCACCTTCCCTTTTTTCATGCTGCAGTTCATTGCATGAAACATGACCCTAGCAAAGGCAAACTGTACTTTTTTTAAGTCCTATGTTTCCCAGCACTATCCCTTATTTCTGAAAACCTTCCTTGTCATATTATACTATTTTAAGACTGCTGATCTCACTAATTTTCAGACCTTTCTTAACTTGCTGAACAGCCCTATGATCATCATTGAGGTCTGCCACATTCAGGCTGTAAATTCTCTAAAACAAAGACTGAGTCTTAGGTCCTTTCTGCAAAGGACTAAAGAGCAAAAGAGTAAAAGAAGCACTCACACAAATACCTGATCAGACAGCATCTAGCGTTTTTCCTGAAGCCACAGCATGCCACTTGGAAATGGAATGGGTAAGATTTGCCTCACCTTCTTCCTCCTCGCTGCTCCCCGTGGGACCATCTGATGGCTTCTGGTGATTGACCAATTTGTCACTGGGTGTTGCCATGGTGAGGAGAAAGGCATAGCCCAAAAAAAGGGTCTTATTGTGGGGCAAGGGTCCATGATGGTCCTCCAGTACTGGGGGATCTACAGCATCTACACCTTCACAGGTGCTTACAAATTCTCCGGCTCTCACAGCCCCTGCAGAGAGACAGAAGCACCATGAGTCTCAAAAGTCAGGTTCAGCACAAAGACCTGGGTAAGATTTGGGATATGTTCAGCTTCTGTTACTTTACTGGAGTAGACAGAGAGAGGCAAGATTGGGATAGGATTACACTAGGATAGGTAGGGATCTTCCACCCTTCTGGTTGCAAAGAATCTTCAAATCAAAACCTGAATGATTAATGGGACAATGTTCACCAGTCTATCAACATCCTGAAACAACACTTACTGCTGTGAAGGGTCCCTTTAACAGCTAGGCATTTCAGGACTGACTAAACAGGTAAGAAAGGAGAGAGGCAAACCACAACATTAAGGTCAGAACATTTCTAAAAGACAGAACTGAAAAGATGGCAGGTAAGTACTCAGACTGTGCTAAAAATACCTCTGGCTGCTGAATGCATCCAGGGAGAATCCGTCTCAAATCCTGCAGGGCAAACAAGCAATCTCATCCACTTTTCACTTGTGGGAAGCGGAATGATCAATTACAGAAATACCAGGGAGGAAAAAAACAGCTGAATGCAAGTTTAAGAGCAGAAAATAAGGTTCTCACCAGGCTTTATCATTGCTGACTTGCGGCCACGTTTAGCTGGGGATCTCTCATCTTCAGAAGCCACGAGTTTCCTTTTGCCAGATAGTGTACCTGGTGGGATGCGTGGACTGTCCTGCCCTTTACGAGTGGGAGTTGTGCTGCTGCTGGAAGTGCTGGGAGAACCAAGATTACTACGTCGCTTCCGCTTCCCCTCCACAAGATTATCTGTAATATAGCATGCAGAGATTAGTCACTGGCTGTCACCTAACTCCACAAGCTTTCACCCTACCTATCTATACAGAGATGGCTAAATTCAATAGTACCTAGAAGTTACACCCTACCACCCTCTGACAGAAAAGAGCAAGGAAAAAAAAAAAGATAACTTGCTTGTGTATCTTTCTGCTTAAGCCCTGTATCCTGCCTGTCTCTTTTCCTTCCAGTACTGCTGAAGAGTTTACCATAGCAGCCATCCACCAAGTGTCAATGAGTACAGCAAGCATCACTGTCCTAGAAGCAGGCCACTCTCCACAAGCCAGTCAATACCACTAACTCTCTGAGCAAGACACAAAATAATAAAAGGATCTCAAAGATCCCATTATGAAGTACCAAAGTCATTGTTGAATACCCAGCAAGATTTAAACATTGGTAATTCAGATTAGGAACTAGAAGCATCTCAAAAGGCACAAGATGCAGAACAGCATAGCCGGCAGCTCAACAGCACCTCCCCTTACCAAGACTGATGTCAGCTGCTTTGGTCAGGGGGGTGACAGGTTCGTAAGGACCTAGCCCAAACTGCTCCCGGAGCTTATTTCCTTGTTCCAGAGACAGGATAACAGCCATTCGTTTGTACCACTTCCTCTGCCCTTCCTTTTCAATGCAATAGTATAGCTCTCCAGACTCCTTCCGGTGTCCCTTCACCACACCTGACAAGGCAGCAAATAATACCCGTTAACCAACTATACCCAGGCTTCTCATCCTCCTGGACAACCAACCATTTCCCATTGCATTCAGCAACTCAGAAAACCTGAGGATGGAGCTCAAGCACTGTTCTTACCTGCACTAAAGTACTCATCCTCTGAGAGTGCGGTCACCTCAGTCTCCAAGGGGATAGGATCACAGAGTAAAATATCTTTTCCTAGCACATCACATTCATATCCATCGTCAAACAGCAGCTTGTACTTTCCTGCCCCAACATCTTGGGTAATCATCCCAGAATAGAAATACCCATTTGAGGACCACTTCGCTACAACCCTGAGGCCCACAAAGCTGCTCCCAGAGGATGAGTCTGCACAGTCCAAAGGACCAGTCACCACTTGTAATGGGATTTCTGGAGAGTCACTTCGACGTAAGGCACCATAGCCAGAAGTGTCAGATTTCTCCCCTCCATCTAGCAGGCGAACTGAACGAGTAAATGATTTCTCCTCAGGTGATGCTGTAGCTGAGAGATCCTCCACACCTGGCAGTCCGGCTAAATCTCTGTAAAACAGAGAAAAGCAGTCCCAGAAGGAGGAAAAAAAAAAAAAATGGGGGGAGAAAAATCACTCCCGGAAGTATCAGGAAAAACAGTTACTAAACAAAGAATACTTGCACAAGATGCTTGCAGCTGCTACATGCTATCACCAAAAACTAGCTCCTGAAGCATTCAGTACTCCTTTTCCTCTGTCACTTATTGTGACAGCAGCTCCCCATTCTCTTCCTCGGCAATAAATTAAAGTTACAGTCTCCTTTTTCCAGGGTACCTTGTTCCTGTTGTTCGAGATGGTGGGCGGCCTCTTCTTCCTCGCCCACGAGGTGACACAGGTGCTCTGCCACCCTGACGAGTGCTAGGCATAGATTCGTCCTCTTCCTCACAAGGCAGTGCTCCTGTCTGGCTAACTCTGAGCGGAGATGCTGGCTGACCAGCTCCTTTCCTAGGGCTAGAGAATTTATGAGTTAACTGTTCTGAAAAGAGAAGCCAGTTCATTAGGATACCCCCATTTTCTCTGTAATCTCACAACTGGTCAAGAAGTTTGCCTCATTGCTGCTGAACTGGCAAGAGCTTAGGCAAGGCAATGCCTCACAAGGAAACAGACTACTCCTTCAGGAAGAACAAATGTGAAAGCAAAGACTATCTCCTTATTTCTGTTCATCAAGCCAGATCCTTCCCAGAAAATTCTTGGTTTAGGGTCTACCCTGCTTCACACTCCACCCAAGCCAGCTGTTCACTTCTGCAAAATATCTGTTCTTCCTTTCCCAAGGCTCTGCACGTACCTTAATTTTCCTAAGATGCCTCTGCCAATGGGTAAAGCAAACTCTCCAGTTTCTGTCCCACACACTTTCCCTTTGACAGCTCCAGTTCCTCGCCCTGAGCTGCTGCTGCTGTGTGTGGCAGAGTGACCACTGCTTGCTCCACTGGATGTACGGTGGAGGCTTGAGGCCTTAGATGAGAAGGAGCTGACATCACCCAGGTCCCCTGAGGTCAGTGATGATCCCACTGCAGTCCTAGAGGAGGATGCATCAGTCTCACACTCCTGGCACTCCACTACAGGCTCCTCAGTTTCCTTAAGGGGAGGGGGGCGGAGGGGAAAAAGAGGTTCGTCATATGTAACACACTTGCTAGATGGAAGCTCTACAATCACCAGGCGAAAGTGCAGACAAGTTGAGACCACATTCATGAAACTGAAGATAGCCATGCAGATTTGAGTTTGGACAGATCAACGGTAGACAGTGTGTCTCTCACTATATGCCTGTAGCTGCTCTGTATAAAGAAGTCACACTAATAATCAGTCAACAGGACAGAGTTTGGCTGGTATCAAATTAGTCTGCCTTTGAATAATTCCCAGCCTTTGAGAGTAAAGGAGTGCAACAAATAAATGACACACTAGCAGCCTTCGGTTACTAATAATCCAAGATCAGTTTCAGACAGCTGGTCATTTGGAGCCATTAAAGTTTTATGCATATAAAAATAGGTATCTACAAAATAGTGACATCAAATGTTGATAGATAAATTGGAAATGGTTATATGATTGTGATTACACAACCTATGTAAGCACATTTCAGGAAACTTAATTCACTATTTTAATGTTACAATAAGCAATTTCATGTGTAGCATCAGGTGTGAAAGTATAAGCTTTGCACTGAACTAATTTATCCTTTTGCGTCACTACTCATTGCAACAACACAGCACAAGACTCTCATGTTATTTACCTTTATAGCAGAACAGCAGTAACATTTTATTGCTAGCAGGCTGATATAGTTACTGTGCACATCAAATCAGCATTTGTCAGCTATCTTCTGAGATGCTCTAAAGATTTTCCAATTAATGAATGGACATACACCAGCACAAGTGTACTAACAATAGGCTTGTTTAAGTTGCTTTTTGTAGACCTCTTAGAGAATCTGGTCTGCAGGACTCAAAAGAGTATGTTTAAAAATGACACTGAGCTGCAAAACAGGCTTAACTACCTTACTTAGTTCAATTTTACAGGCAGAAGTGATTTTTGACTACTAACAGAATTTCTGCCCATTCTGAAATCTCTCTATTCTGACAAAACCCCAAGAATTTAAAAACTATTAGATGCACATAGTGAAGTCTTTTGTTCAGTTCTTTGGGAAGAAAAAAAATGTCAGGGTGTCTTCAGAACGCTGTAACAGGCGAGAAATATACCACCAACAAATACACAGCTTTCACCATGCACTAAATGGTCTGCATGTTCGCTCACAAAGAAAAGTTTGTAATCACAGACACTGACTTGTTCACTCAACTCGTTTTTCTGCAGCCACCACACTTTTCAGCCAACATATCATTACATCTAGCCCTGAAAAGAGGAACTTGCCTCAACCACCTTTCGTTCCACCTCTGCACCGTTTATGTAGTAAACATCTGTTGTAACACGCGTAACAACAGTGCGCACTTCTCGAATAGTTCGCATGTGGCGACGCTGAACTCGGCCTTTGGGTGGGTGAAGAAGGTTAAACTCCTCCTCTCCCTGTAATAAACAGGACAAATTAAAACCAAAACAGACCACAATGAAAAGCAAGTAATTCCTAGATACAGCTATCTCTGCAGTACAGTTTCTTCATACCACGTTCAAGTACTGGGGCAGGGAGCCTTTCAGCATCTTGTCACAAATTAGATACAACAACACAAGAGACCCTAAACAAGGGAGAACTGAACACAATTTGCTGATGGGTGAAGGGAAATCATAGCAGTTCAAGGAGGAAACAGCAAACTTGCTTAGCATGGCTTCTGATACTTTTTCATTCAGTGGACTCTCAGACATACCACATCAATGTTGCACTGCGTATTTATGGCCCTGTTAATCTCCTGCTTCCTAGGGGACACACCATTCTTAACTCAAGTTTAGAAAAAAATAATTGTTTCTAGTCTTTGTCTTCACAATGACATATACAAGCTGTAACTGCAAAGCAGTGATTTTTCTTGAGTTTGTAATATTTTCTGAAATACTAATTTAAAGTTTCTCATCTCGTTAGAATGTTTCTCTGGAGGAGCTCTCCCCTCATGTGTTTAACCATTGACATTGGATGGAGTAGCAGAACAAGCTGTCAGCAGTTGGTTGGTGCAAAATAGAAGACATCAAACCCCGCATTCAAAATGTCATACAACTCCCACCTCCATCCAACAAAAAGTGAAAATTTTTTTACAGTGTTAACTACATCTGGACACACACACACATTAAAAAAAACAACCTACAAACTAAACCAACCAACCAAAACTTGTCATATTTTTCCAGAAAATAAATACGGAGACATTTACTTCCCAAACTCATGCTGCCCACTAAGTATTGCTACCTTAGCAGTTGTGTAGAGCTGATACAGGAAAGCTTGCAACATTAACATTTTTGAAGTGGTCTTTTGGCTTTTTTTCAACAGAGAACCTACTGTTAGCGAATTTACTGGCTGAAGGAATACTTTAATGTTCTAAAGCAGTAAAATTAAATACAGGCAGCCTTCATCCCACCTGACTGTGCAGAGAGTCCACATCCTCTCCAGAGGCATTCGCAAGCTTTTCCCCACTCTCTTCAGTTTGGACAGTCGCATCTTGTCGCCCAGGTCTTTGCCCAAACATACTGGTTCCCACTTCCACCTGCCCACAGATTTCTTCTGATGTTTGTGTCGCTGTTGTAACAGTTGTCGGGGTAAAAAGACAGTCTGTTGCAGTTTGAGTCCCTTTATTCCTGGTGTTGGTGCAACTCTCTCGGCTTTCATCTCTTTTAACAGCCCTACTTGGTTTCTTCTGCGTTCTCCTCCCTTCTTCTGTGTGAGTGCTTACACCACCAGTCTCCACAGACTCCCCATCCTCTGCACCAGAAGGTTGTTGATGGCAATCCTGCTGCATCCTCTGAGGAATTAGGACCTGTCCAACACTGTCATCTGCATTGTGTTGCTCATACTGCAAGCCACTCGGATTTTTATGTAATTCAGCATCTTCTTGTGTGCCAGGAAAACCAAACAGATTCCCCCTACAAACCAGTTATATATAGATCAAAATTATTGATTAAAAAAGCAAGACAGTCAATATGCTGCCACTCATGTGAAAGCACTGTAAAAAAAACCCAAACAAACAACAAAAAACCCCACAAACCAAAAAAAACCCCCACAAGAAAACCCCGTGCAAGCTTAAGAAGCAGCTGAAAGACTGCCAGAACTCAGTGAGTTTCAAATTATAAAATAACCTTTCAACATCTCTCAAGTGATTCACATGGTAGCAAGAAGAATGACTGACACCTGTAGAGAACTAGGTGCTTTTTCAAACACTAATAAAGCACTCTATGCTCCACACGTCAGGCACCAACTATGCAACATACTTCTGGAAGTCATGCCATCCTGAAGTTGCTACAGGCGGCTTCAGCACTTCATTGGCTTGAAACTGGTAATCACACCTAGCGAGGAGAGGCAGGAGCATAAACATAAATGCTGTCTAATGTTTTCAGTAGAATTTGCCTGCCCCGTCAGAAGCGTTACCAGGTACTATATGGGACTGTATACTGAGCCTTACTAGAAGTATACATTTGGCTTCCCTCGTGTACTTGAGGACTTTGAGGAGTGACTGTCTTCCATTCTGTCTGTACATCGCCCAGCACTGGAACTCCCTATGCATTATGGTCTTTAGTATAACTGTTCAATGCTCTTGAAATATAGGTTACTTTTCCTCCGTAGACCAAGACCTCACTGCCGCATCAAAAGACAGAATGGAAAACACTGAAGAAGCAGATTTCTGCACCTGGTCCTCCAGCCAGCACCCTTATCACCAGAAGATATGCAGCAGTACAGTCCTTTTCAAAGCAACCAGAGACATCAAAAATTGGTGGACTTGGAAGGGAGACAATAGCAGAAAGAATAACAAACATAATAGGTCAGAAGACCTTGGAACAGAAGAAAGAAAAGGTATTTAAACAGCTGAAAGTATGATCTCAGTTCTCTAAAGCATTTTACCAAAGCATATTAGCTAGCTGGAATCACATCACTGCTCAGTCAAAAAGGTAAGTCTGATTACCATATGAGATACAAACATACAGTACTTCTTATACTTACCACTTTGTCCCCAACCTTCTAAGTCACCCAAAGACAATGACTTAGTGCAATTTCTTTGATGTAGAAAATGCACACGTGCATATAAATCCAACCAGGACTGGCAGGCAAAGACTGTGAGGAGTTACCTAAACGGAGAAGTGGAAAGACCATGACCTCTGGCCTCATCCTCTCGACGAACTTCACAGACACGACTAAACACAGATGATGCTTTCTGGGAGCTAGCAGTGCAGATTTAAAACAAACAAACAAACAAAAAAAATCATCAGGGAGTGAGAAAATCCCTTATACAGCAAAACAAGAGTTCTCTAGCCCCTTGGGAAAGCAACAACTGGTATTGAGCTTGTTGACCTATACAGCCACAGAACGAGTGAGATGGTCAGTCTCAAGAAACGAGCTGCAATTGCCTAAGCATTTCTGTCATTTCTGCAGACACCCTAACAGCCAAGAGCAATGTAACAATTCCAGAAAATGTAGTGTGGAAAACTGCAGCGCCATCAGGAGTTTCACCATCTACTACCTCTGGTACCCACCAGGGGACACAGATCATTTACGGCTTACTTCTCAGGATTTTCATAACACTGCAAAAATATTGGGAATGACAGTCATAAAGCAGACCCTGAGAGATCAAGTTCAACCTATACCTACAAAGGCAACCCATCCTCAACCAGTGAGGAATAACTGCCACTCATCCACAGCACTGAGGCGTAATCAACATCCAGCTTGCAATCCTGTGACAAGAGATACTGGCTTTATTTCAAAGTTTTCTCACTGCTTCAAACCATTATACTTCACTCGGATGACTACAGGTCACTATCTTCTAACTCAGATTCTTATTAATAGTTACAAACCATACTCCCCAAAAGCTAAAATCAAGCAACGCTAGGCATTAAATGTAAGATAAGATAATTACATACAAATCAAAAGACCAAGGGCGCAACTTATGTTTTAGTCAACATGTTAAACTGTCATTTCAATATATCAGTGACCTCGTTATCTATCAGTTTCATATCTAAAAGAGAATTCTCTTTCAGAACTCCTCAGACATTCTGTACAGAAAATTGCACAATAAGGAAAGAAGGTAGAAAAACATGTATTTGATATTTAAGAGGTGGATAGGGCAGACTTGCATTCTGAATGGCACAAGACATGAATTTCTGCTTTGACTACAATCAGATGAAGGCAAAATGCTGACATTAGTAGGAAGCACAGGGCCTGTAGTGAAACAGCAGGTGAGGCACCCACCTTGCCTATGTACTTAAAACCTGCTGCAAGAGCTAAAGTGTTAATGTCATGGCTATTGCTAAAAGCATTCCCTGCTTCCCTGACTCATTGTAATTTTTTTTTTCCCCTGTTGCTGGTCAAAAGTGGAAAAAGGATCTACCCAGAACACTGCATTAACTCTGCACAGCAACAAGCCCAGTTACCTGGCAGCAGCAGAGGATCCATCTTTCTTGTCACTAGCTGTAGGCTCTGAAACAAGAATGAAGGGAAGGATGATTTCGGTGGCACCTGAGCAGACTCCCCTTCCCCTTCCCAGCCCCCCCCACTCAGCAGAGAGGTTGAGTAACGCTGGACAAAGGGCGCCCAGGCCTTCCCGCTCAAATTCTCATCACAGACCTGAGTTCCTGCAAGTTTTAGACTATTAGACTGAGTCTCACTGTTCCGATGAAAATGTTGTCAAACTTTTTTGTCTAGATTATACTTTTAAAATCTTTTCCCTCCCATTACCACCAAACTCCATTTCCTATCCTGCGACGTTGCCACTATACATTACAATTTTTAGTCTGCTGGAAATACCTTTCCTCACAACAGAGGCCTCTCCTCTCACTCCGTCCTTGCTTAGAGCATTGCAGAAACAGTGAAACCAATTTAAGTGACACTGCCCACAAAGAAAAATGAGAGAAATTACAGAGACTCAACGACTGTCTCAGGGAATGCCACAAAGCGGTTTTGAGTTAGGGCTGAGATCTAGTAGGATCTGTATGTTTTTGCAGTTTCATCCTCTTACTTTCCAAGCTGAATGGCAGGGACTCCTCGCTCCCATCGTTCACAGGGGTAACAAGGTTCATTCGCAGAGAAAGTTTTGCATCAGCCTCAGGAACCACGCAAGAATCTCCTTTCTCGCACACTTCTGACACATCTGCCGATACCATTGCACTTTCCACGGTGACATTGTTGGTCCCCATTGTGCCCTCTGCTGTAACATCACTAGTTGCTATCGTGCTGTCTGGGCAACTATCATCCACTGAATATAGGAAAACAAAAAAATTAAAACAAAAAGTAGCTACTGTCATTCAAACTGCTGAGGTCCAGGTCCCAGTTCTGTTTTGAAAATGCTTCACTGCATGCATTATTAGCAATAGTGGAAATTCCTATCTAGAGTCCTCAAGCATGAAAGTTCTGTAGCACGGGTATCATCCTTAGCTTGCAACAGAATACTTTACTATTACCCAAGCAGAAATACACACCTCCCCTCATCCAGCAAACGAAGGGTGCTGTTTTGCGAAACTAGCAGAGAAAGTCCTACTAAAAGATGATGTATACTGGCAACAATCTTCTTTTAGTCTAGGCTCTTTCACGACATTGGAGGGAACACAATGAGTGCAAGGAAGGTATGTTCTGTATCAGCCCACACCCAGGGAGCAAACACTTTCACTAGAGACTGAGGAGAGAATGTAACAAGGAAAGTGTGGAGAAGGGATGAGCCCTCTCCATAGAACAGCAATGTTTTTTGTCGAGGTAGGTTTGAGTTATCCCATTAGATCTTGTATCAAGAATCAAAAGCTTCCAAACAGGCTTTCACCGCAGAACAGAGCCATTTGGGTGAAACTCACCAATTGGTGTGCTGTGTCTTCTGGGTCCCATTTTAAGCTGGCTGATAAGAGGTGGTGTTATGCTGGTCAAGGGCTGAATGACGTCACCCTCCTTTGGCAAAGTAAAATGAAATGGGGTTCCTAAAAGACAGAGAGCGCCAGGGTTGGTAATTTCAGGGGACTACTTTGGTTCAAATACTAAAAGCATAGGTTCACTGCACTGTGGAAATGGCAAAAAGCATAAACCTGGTGCCGTCCTGTACAAAACCCCCCCAAACAGTTACTGGTTTCAGGACAGCTGCTCTAACTGATCTTCCTCACACACCTGGATGGGTTTACCATGTGCGGATCTTGCAGGATTTAACACATAAAATATGTTAAAAACCTAGTAAAACGGTCCCTCCTTTTGCCTCACCCCATGCCATTTATTTGCAAACCTTCAACATCCTGTATCAGTAATTTGCAGGCTGCATTCTTTCCAAATTGCATAGAAGTTTTTAACAAAACTAACAGAATAACTCTTTCCTCCCCACACTGGGGTCAAAATAGGCTTTCATCATCTTTCCACTATCCTTCCTTTTCCCTAAAACTGTACTTGTTCTTTGGATTTCATTCAAGATATTACTCAAATAACGCAAGTCACAATTTACATAACTCCTGAATTTTAAGAAGCATGTATAAAAAAAGAACAAAACCCAAAACTAAACAGTACTGGAAAAATGTTAGTTAAGGACACGAGAACACAAATTCAAGTTACTTAAATTCAAGAGCTAGCACTAGATATTCAGATACAACTTTCAGTTATAGCCAGATGCAGTGTATCATTCTTCAGTTACACAAGATGCTGACATATGATTTACACAACTACCTTGTGGCAAAGGAAGCCATAAATACATGACAAAGACATAATCCCTCACAGAAAAAACCCTGAGCAGTGAAAAGTTATCTACTGTCCGTTTTAAAACCATCACCTGCCCTGCTGTCACAAGTTTTAAAGATATGATTCAGCAATTGCAACATCCTTGAGATCAACATAAGTACTTGAGTATATTTTTGCAGTGGGTAGGTATTTCATAGTGCAGTGGTACTCACACTTCATGGGTACACCACATATGGAAAGGTCAACTACCATTCCTCACAAACAGTTTATGAATGCTTGTCATATCATGACCTACAGCAGATCTCAATTTAAAAAGTGTTTTATTTAAAAACTGAAGTCTTTAGAAACTCCACTGAATTTTGATCCATTTAGGTACCACAATCCTTTCTAGCCTACAAATCCACATTTGGCAGGCTAATAACAAATGATCAAAATCAGCCTGCATTTTGACAAGAGATAACGTGTTACTAAACCAATGGATACCATTAGAGAAAATAAACAAGATCTCACACGCACAAGACCTGGAAAAAGCACGTATGCCTGAAAGCTTAACTGCTTTCACATAACTGCATCAACTGATATAACAATGAAAAAGGTTAATTCTCTCTACAAACTTTTCTTATGTCCTTAAGACCATCATCCTATAACATTTCCTTTTATCTTTCAGAATCAAAAGACTGGGCCTTTCTTTGGCCCACTTTGTCTCTCTCAAGTTTGCCAATGCTAAGGTATAAAAAATTCCATTTGCTCGGGTAACACTTTCACAGGGAGAGTTGCAGGTTTCTAGCACAGTGCAGATGGCAACCACCAGCATAGCACAAGAGCTGCATCCTCATAATGGAAGGAGACAAAGGAATCTCCCAAAGTGGTGTGAACCTAAGTGAAGCAGAGGTATCATCCCCTTCTCTTCTAGAAGGAAAGATAAGTCCCACCGCCTTTTCTGCATAATGTGATGCTTCCTGCACACTACTACTACACGGATGGCCAGCCTGCAGCTCTCAATCAGTTCAAGCGCCGCTCCCTCTGCTCTAGTTCTTCTCTCTAACCCCTTGCCTCTACAAGGGATATGGCACATCTACCGTGGCTTCTCAGCCACACAAAGATCTATAGAGAAAGCTAGTAGTAGTGGATGGCCACTCTGTTTTCTGTCCATACAGAAGGGAGGGGGAAAAAAATAAACTCCCCAAAACACCACCCCAAAGAACCCCATGCCTTCTATTTAAGAACTTTTGCGTTCTCTTTCAAAAAGCCCTTTCTTAGCTCTGTTCTTAACGCACTAGCACAACTATTTAACAGACAGGGCAAAAGCTTAATTATATACATTTTTCTCCACTGGTAATTTGTATCTAGCTGTGATATATCAAAAGGACCCCATTAGAAAATAAAAAACTTTACTTCGAGAAGTCTTCCAGATTAAGAGTCATCACTCCAGCCAAGCCTGAGGCAGTATTAAAAAGATTTAAGACCTTGACAACACAACTCTTAATTATTTTAATAAAAATAGTAACTTTTTATTTAACCTGGTACGCTTAAACTTTGTCATAACTATGTTAACTGCACTGCTTATCTGTTTCTTCTTTATATTACCAGTAAAAAGATAACTTTCTGAATAGGGTTTTGTTTGTACAAAACTGTACAATCTACAAAAAAGATTTCTTGGACAGCCACAACTTCTATAAACTCCACAGAGTCCTAGAAACAGACTTCAATGAGTAAATTTCTTTTCCATATCCTTACATTCTATCATGTTCTAGCCTTTGAGCATTTTTAGTAGAGTAACTAAACACTTGATATCTTATTCAAGGCAACTTCAAAACCAAAAAAGACACCCCTCAAACCTCACCATCCAGTTTCTACTCCAGCTTCTTAGACTCTTTGCCAAGATCCTTCTAGTCCTCACCTAAAGTTTGTGCTTACTGATGTATGCTTCATAACCTGTTGATAAGGGATTAGACTCCTTCTGGAAATAGCTATTACGAGAACAAACCTGCTTTAAGAGAAGAGGGATGCTCTAAAGCTCTTCACGCGCCAAGGACTGAGCGATGTTAAGAGAACAAACATCACTCTGCATACTCTTCCACCATGCTTCATGAGTCTGAAGACAGCAGGCAGAACATCTCAAAAGCCTGACCTCCCTCCTAACACCAATCAGCCTTTTAGTGTAATACAAATGCGCAAAAAACAACCACTAGTATTAATTTCTAAGTTAATTTTCTCCAAACAGTGGCTTAGTGTTCTCTTTTGAAAGTAAATCCAGCCAAATGTGATGTGTTTAAGTTGCATTTAGATTTATCTAAGAAAAAAACATTTCAAGCACAATATAACAAGGGGCATGTTACCTCAAGTTAAATGCAATTTTGTTCATGCGCTCTCAAAAAGGAAGTTTCGGATCGTGAACGCTGCGAAAGGCCACACTGAAGTGGAAAGTAGCATTCCACCTTGTTATGTAGCTGCAGCTACTCATCTTTATTTTACCATCATTTCAGCAGTGTACTGCCAAACATATTATCTTATTTAATAAAATCTATACTGTTCTTAAGTTCAAAGACCAGTACTGTTCTCTTGACTATGCCAATTTGTCTTAAGTCACATGCATTCCCAGCATAGCAAATGCCCTGGACTTGCTTACGGAAAAGTTAACTTGAGATCACAAAATGCCATGGGATCAGAACACCTTTGAACTTCCTGACCAGTATTTTTATCAAATCCCCTCAAAGAATTATTTTCTATATAATCAAGCTTTTTTTTCTTCTTTCAGTTAAAGGAAATCAAGAATACTGTATCTAAATCTTTGTAATCCATGTTACTTAATGTAACTTGCTACTTCATGTTAAGTAACATTGGAGCTCCTGCCATCTTTTCACTTCCCTAATAGAAGGGAAACAGATTTTCTGATCCTAATACCAAGTTCCTTCATTCTTGCCATGTGCAAGTTTCTACACAAAACTTAAGTTCTCAGATTTTAAAGCTTTCAGAATTAGGGCACATCAAATGAAACCAATACCTGGTGAAATAGAGTTGTTTTTTACCTAGTATGTAACCTAAGCTGTCAGAGTTCCTACTGCAGGATGTTTTGAAGACTAGAAGTTTACAGAAGTTCAAAAAAAACACACATGGAAATTCCACAGTGGGGGAGAAAAAACACACCAATCCAACACACCAAAAAACAAAGACATCACTTCAGACTCAGCATTTTCTTAAACCGTACTTTTCTTGACAAAAGAGACACTTCTTCAGAAGTATCTCCCCCCTGCATTTTTGCCCTTATATTCATCCATATGCATCTGCTAGTCAATACTGGGGGAACTCATATACCAAGATAGACTGATGCAGCGTAACTGTTCTTCTGATTGTTGTAGGATCTCAATTCACAGAGACCTTGATTTTCAGTCTTTAGTTCAGAGTTAACACAAAGGCACAATGACCTACTGCAAGCCACTGAATGGGAAAGACGGAAAAAACCACACCCTAACACCACCCCACCCCACCCATTAAATGGCAACAGAATAATCTAACACTAACAAAGAAGCTAGTCGTCTTGGTCCACAGAGTATCTCAAAACCTGGAGATACAGATCTTCAAAATCTGTCAGTGCAGCTTTTTTTCTTCTAATTTGAAAAATACAGCATGATTCAATTGTACCACCTATAAACAATATTGAAAGCTTTACCCAAATATCATTAAAGAGGCAGCCTCCAAACTTCAGGTAAGATGTTGCTCAGACACATCCAAATACCACAAATTAAAAACTTAAATCTGAAATTGATGACACTACTGTCTCGATCGACAAAGCAACCCACTGAATTGCCTCCAGCATGTTACTTGCTTAGCACTGGTTCCCCAAGCCATCAAAGACTCTACTGTCAGAGAATGCACTAAATTAAAATAAATCATTGCTTTTCTGGCCAACTGAAATACTCTACTTTCACACCTAACAATGAAGCGGTTCGCTACAACATTCTGAAAGAAAGTGATAGTCACTAGTATGTGATGTTAAAGAATGCAAAACCAAAAAAGCTCCCAAACATCTCTCTGGTCCTACCGCATTCAGAAGAATGGGTGTAAAACTTACATCAATGAAATTGCTATGATAGCTAGTATATTAAGCAGTGCTTACAATACAGATTAACTCATATGACTATGTTATTGGGAAAGTGGAGTTTTTAAATCTAAACAAAGAAGATATCAGAACCCCTGAAAAATGGGAATTTTTACATGACTAAACATATACTTAGCTCAAAATAAAGTAACCACTGTAGAAGTTGTTCTCGGATGTCAGCGATGTTAAAAAGCTGTGGCCACAAGGATCCGTCCTCCTTGAAAATAATTTGAGCTTTATTTTGTTTTAAAATAGGTCAATAGGCACTTATAGCAAAGTCCAGCTCGAAAACTGCTATTATCTTTTGCTGGAAGTCTCTCCAAAACTGATGACCTGCATAAGCATTCAAATCTCTTTTCCACACCTTGCTGTAATCTAACTTCTACAGGTTATCAATATTTACCTGCCATTCTTATCTTACAACACAAGATACTACCTTCATCCTATTTTTTAGTATCTCGAGTTTCTTCTCACCAGCCAGTTCCACATTATTAAGTGGTTATCTTTCTCAAATTTGTCAGCAAATTTGGTATTAAAAACACACGTAAGTATTACACTCAATCCCTCTTCATCCAAGTCTCCATCTAGCGCTTCAAAGTCATCCCACCTATTTCTGTTCAGACATAAAGAAGAAAGCTCTTAATCTTGCTCCTTTTTGAAATCTGCCATTTTGACCTTTCCAAACAGGATCACATATTCCAGAAGTCAGCACGGTTCAAGGTCACAAGAACTGAAGAAAAGGGGAGGGAACCACATAAAAACGAGCTCGAAAGGGTTTCAGGAAGAAACAGCCAAAGCTGCCATAAGCAGCAGTTAAGGATCAGTTCGTGACTGGAAAAATTAAACAAGTAGTTCAGAAAACAGTAACAAAATGTATTGGACTTGCGAGACTGAGGAGAGAAGTTCTGAAGAAGTTTTGAAGAAATGCACAGCTCTCGAAAAAAACCCAAACATAAATTGGCAGAGAAAATAAGAGATGTCCCTCACTGACAAAGAATAGAAAATTATGCAGATCAGTTATCAACTGAGTAGATAAAGGAAAAAAGAAGGCTGAGTGTTATGAAGTGTTTTTTAAGCAGTATATCTTACACTAATTTCTCAAAAGGAAAAACTAGAAAACATTACCACTCGAACAAAGCTCTGCGGGACAAACTATAGGGCTATATAACAATACCACGACCTCTGAGTGGAAAGAGAAATTCTATCTAGCCCACAGCTTTATAGGTTCCACAAATCAAAATCACAGACTGCTCAATCTAAATCTATCAGACTGTTCACAAACATCTTCCCTGCTAGACATCTCATTTCATTCTAACAGCACTGCACAATTCTATTCATCTTCCATTGTACTCTAACTGATGGACTTACGTAATTTACAGAGCATCAACTACCTAGCAAATCAGTGAAAAGAGTTCAATAAACCTCTATTAACATACTGGTCTGCTCAGGAGATGTAAAGACAACCATCACCTATTGACAACTAATGTTTTCAGACCCTCAACTTTTATAACCACCAACTTCAGGAGACTGGAAGTCATCATCGTAAGAGGAGGAAAACTCTCTCACTCTCTGATCATGCGGTTTAATGAAAGATTACTTAGATCTCAAAAACGTGTACAATTCAAGACAAAGCTCTAGTAAAACTTCGTTTTCTACTACTTTCTCCTTTGAGGAGTACAGAACTCTGTTATAAAATTAAGCCAACTGAAAGGCAAAAGTTCCACAAAACTCAGGTACAGCATCTCACATTTCTCATATAACTACATAACAGTATGTTAAAGGGATTTCAATGTATTATGACAATACCTGCCAAGCCACAGCTTACGTGTGAGTGAAAAGCCATTCTACTTTAAAATAATCTCAAGATAAACTTGCTGTATTAGTTTCTAGCTCAAAGCTGCTCTATACACCCCCCTCAAAGAAAATTCTCCTCTGAGAATGAAAAAAAACCAAACCAAACCAAACAAGTAAGGACACCTACAAGAGGGAAAGTAGAGTACCACACACCCCTTCCCTTTCAAGGACACTGTTGTTGTTTCTTCTGGGGAAAAAAAAGTTACAAAAATCCTTGAGTATCGCCAAGGTCACAACATTCTGAGTTTTCAAAGTTGCTCTGTGTTTCTGCCATAAAACAGCAAGGGAGTGTTAGGCACAAGAATTACCTTATCATTCTTGCCTGCAGTAGTGTGACAAACAGGAAAAAAGTAAAGGCATGTTATGCACGTAACACAGTAACTTGTAGTGCTGCTCTTAAGAGACACTGTTCAACACGCATCCAAGATCAGTGCTCCCTGAAAACACTGAGGATTGTAGACAGCCATCCTTGACATTACTCAAAATATACATCTGTGAACTACTAACCTAAATTCACTTACCACTGGAAGGACTGGGGGATTTAGCAGCTGCCTTCTCCTGTGGCTGCATCTGGTCTTCTTGCTCCAGATTCCTTCTCATAACAGTATCCTCCATATTCTTTGGCACCTGATTGTCATGCTGAGTCACCAGCATGCCAACCCCTCTCTCTTGAAGCGGTGGCAGATTCTGTATTATCATCATCTGTCCTGATTCCGAACAACCTGGATGTTTTTTGGAACACAACACCACTTCCGATGGAATGTCACTCTTTAACTCAGGAGACAAATTTTTGTGCTGTTCCAGTAACTCCCCTACAGAAGGCTTAGATAAAACTCTATTAAGCTTCGGCATGTTTTCCGAAGCAGCCTTAAAGGACAGTTTATCCACGCTCTTTGCCTCTCCAGTGTCAGAAGTACAATCTTTCGAAGTTTCTTTTCCCCAGCTTTCTGGTCCAATCTTTTCCAGTTCTTGGGTCTGATCAGACAAATTTTTACTATTTTTACAAGAATCATCAGCAAATTCCACTTCCATATCTTCATGACACTGCACTTCCCTTTCAAGAATAAACCTCTGGGAAAGAGCTATATTAATAAGGGATCCATCTTCATTTATTTGCTTCCCTTTTGCTTGCAGTTTTTCTGCTTGTTCTTCACATTGTGTCTCAGGAACTGCCTCAGGTTCAGAAGTCTCTTCCAATGGATAATCCTCAGCCTGTGCTTCTCTACCCTGAGTGTATGACAAAACTTCTGGCAGACCAGACTGACCTGCAGCAGCCTGACTTCCAGAAGTACACTCCATCTCCTGATGAGCTGTAGGGGCTAACGACCCATCTCCTGCTACATCTGCACTAACTAACTGCATTACAGGCTTTCCTGCAATCTGTAAATCCTCCTTTTTTGCCTTTTCACAGTTTTCAGAGCACGTTTGATCACCTGCATCCAGCCTCAGTTTTACGTTGTCATTCTCCACAGAAGAGAGTCTCAAGTCTGAGGCCTTGCATTCAGAAATCACCTCTACTTGTGTGGTTTCGCTATCTTGGCCCATGTTCAGAGAGCCTGAACTGACCTCTGTAGTTGTGGGCTGGCTACATTCACTTGCAGAAAGCATCAGCTTACAGGACTCAGAAGGTTCTGACACAGAGTCACCTGTAGACATCTTTGACAAAGCATCTGTGGATCCAGAGAGATCTCCTGGTAAGCATAAATGGGCTAAAGTAGCAGCTTTTTCTTCTCCTTCGTGCTCTTTCTCTGGGCTCTGAGTTGGAACAAATATATCCTAAAATGAAAAAAGTGGGACATGGAGCATCAGGGCATCCCGAGTAGGACTGTTTTATTTGTTATTCCTAGAAAATCACACTGGATTATGGAGCAGAGCAAGCTCAGCACAAAACTACAGATTAAAAAAAGAAGCACCACAAAACCCCACAACTTTTTTTCCCCGCATTTATATGAGTCAGAATTGCCCTGTTCTTGCTGAGAAAAATTATCCCCACCCATTATTTCTCAGTACCTCTCTGACAAAGTCAGACAAAAATCCTTGGTACACCTCTCACACTACCAAATCATGAAGTACAGGTCAAATATGGCAAATTAGTAGCTATTTTTAGTCAAACAATCAAGGGTTCTGGAAAGAATCTCTCAAGGAATCTATTATATTAGCATGAAAGTCGCTTTGAGCTAAGGAGAAGCCCTATTTCGACTACTGAAGTGTCTAGTACAACCTTTATTCTCTGCCTTAAGTTGATGAAATTTGTAATATTAAGCGATAAAGCCACCAACTGCCTGCTAAATCCTTTTGAACAGTAATAGCTTCCAGGATCAAAAAGCACAAAGAAAACAACAGATAATAAGAATATGCAATTTGAAAAACACAGTAAATGAATTCTAGCCTTGTAAGAGAAGACAAATGCTTTATTACAAAACAGCTTCACTTCCTCCATGGCAAATGATGCTAAGGTCTACCCTGATGAAAGTCTAATCTATGATGCAGTTTGAGATGCAGGACACCCAGTTCCCAGTTCAGCATCAGAAAGCAGCATCCTTTCAAAGACAGAAAGGATGGGGGGGGGGGGAGGAGGGGCGGAAAGCACAAACCAGGTTTCTAGCATAGATTAAAAGACAACTAATTCTACATTCAGTAACTCACTATGCCCTCTTCAGCTGTTCCACATTTTCTCTGCAGGATAAACTGTCATACAGTATGATCAACATATAACTGTGACTGGTGGGAACAGGGAAGCTCATGAGAACCAGTTTAGTATGGAAGCTCAACACAGAAGCACAGAGGCTGACTCAAACACACAGCTGCAACAGCTATACAAAAACCTCAGAGAAGATACCTATGTGAACCCTTACATGAGAGAATCCTGGTTGTGATGGTATAGGCAAAGATCCAGGAAATAAGGTTGGGGCACTCTGGGACACTGGAGTTGAAGCCTGTGGCAGGACAAGCGGTCCTGGTGGGATACACGGGATGGCCATCTCCACTAGCATATCTCCTCTCTGTTTCTGCACCAGCTCTCTTCCTTCTGCAGGGACAGATACATCCATCTGTTCATCTGGTTTGAAAGAGCAGAAAATACATTACTAGCAAATTCTTGTGTTGCACCTGAAGTTTCCAGCATTCTATTAAAAGATTTGTTTTCAGTGGCATATGCAACTTTCTCATACTTTAATGGGTGAAT